CTGGCTCCATCCCTGCCTCTTCGACCTGTTTGTTTCCTCTCCACCTATCTGCTCCTCTATCCCTCTTCTATCCGCCTCCCACTCTCTCCCTATTTATTTCGGAACCCCCTTCCCTCCCCCCGCCTTTTCTGATGAAGGGTCTAGGCCCGAAACGTCAGCCTCTCTTCTCCTATGATGCTGCTTGGCCTGCTGTGTTCATCCAGCCCTACTCTTTGAGCTGTATGTCTTTAGCAAGTGGGGAAACTGATGTTAAATCCCGCTTAATCTTTTTTAAGGAAAATTCATGGTAGAACAACTGAATAGGACTTGTTGCCACCTGGACATTTCTATATTGCATGTACCATAGTATTCTCAGCAATTACATTGTTCAGATTTCTTCATCTTAAATGGCTAAACATTACAATATAAAATGTTGCCTTTGGGTGAAAATGTGAATTGAACATTCACCATAAGAAACTGTGCTATATGACACATGTGTGATATAACGCACACTATAGACAATGTAGAACATCTTTGTAGAAAGTGTGTACCCCAACTGGAGCATATGAATTTTAAATTTAAATTACATAACAGCACACACTGTGTTATACACAGCTGAACACTCCTGTAGATATGCAACACAATAAATACTACGATTAGGAGTAATAATCCTGTCCAGTTTATTACGTAAAAGTATTGTATGGGGCTGTGCACACTTTAAACATCAAGAATGTCATCTTAAGAATCCTGAACACTGAAGAGGTGATTCTACAACCTATTCTGCCAGCAGGAAACTCACACAAAGTGGATCAGGAAATTAAATCTTGAAGATTATAATCAAAACTCACATATAACTACCCTATTGCTGGGATCAAGGATTCAAAAATCACAACTTGTATTTTTTTCGCAGTACCATGCAGTATTTATTGACTAGCACAACAATATATTTTTCTTGCCTCATACAGTCTCATCAAATATTTATCTCTGGAATATTTGTAAAGGCTTTCCCATCCAGAGAATTTTAAAAATCACTGCTTATGTTACCGGTTATAACACTGAAATGTATATTACATCATTTGTAAAGCATAAGATTTGTATAAATTATCACTGATTTGTTTTGTTGAACCTGGGGAGCACAAAAGGTCTGAAAAGTTAGGAATGAAACAGGGCTGATTTCAACTTTTGGTGATGGTGGGATGGAGACCAGTTGAACACACCATCCAGTTCAGAGTGTATAACAGGTGGCCCATACATTAACTTCCCTTGACTGCCACCACTGAAAGTTGAAACCAACCCTTAAATTCTCACAATGACGTTAACCTGTGCAATGAGAATGAAAGGGCTTACTAGCAATTTTCCTGATTTTGTTTGCAGTCTGCACTAGCCTGGGCACGAGCGCCTGCTGCTTGTCTCAACTTTAACTGCTTGTTGATCTTGCTGCCTGTATGCCGGAATCTACTATCCTTCCTCAGAGGATCATGCTCAGTAAGAAATATTCCTTTCTTTCCTCAATACTATGAGAGTACCCGTGATATAGACTAAGATACTTAGAAATAGCTCCATTTGTGGTAAAATTAGGTTGTGTTTTTTTACCAAATATAACAAATAACACATCACCCTTGGAGAAAATGATTAGTAGCATCACAGGTTAATTCACCCCCTGCACCATTATAACTCTGTGTACACGAATGAGATTTCTGTTGAAATTCACCGAGGATCTGGTGACAGAGAGGAAGAACTCCATGGAAATTGTGACTGCATCAATACTCCACACTGTTATATTTTCATTCAAATATACTTCAGCAAAATCTTCAGAAGACAGGCAACCTGTCCACATTAACCAAGTATCAGGATTTAATCTGACCTCTTTGTAAGAGAAAAGGCTTCAAAATGATTTAAGAAACACAAAATCACCTAGATTTCTCCATATTTAGAAAGAATAGAACAGCATTGCACGGGCAATCTCCCATCCAGATATGGTGCCACTTAACTTCACTAAATAAGGTAAAGATTGGCCATCCCATCTGAAGAATGCCAAAACAGATTATTTAGGATTCAAGAAATAAAGTACCCTGCAACCATTCCTTTTATTGTTATATGAAAATTTTCTAAATTGAAGGGATTAGAACTTGTATATTTTTATGAAGTATTGCCACACTAACCAGTCAGGTCCTGGAATTAAAACAGGATGTGCTGGAAATACTCCACATCTGTTGGAGATAGAACAGCATTATCTTTCAGGTCAATGGTTTTTTATCAGTTTTGTCAATGCTGGTCTCAGCACCTCTGACTATTATCCAGTGACCCCCTATAAACATTATTAGAAATTATTTGAAGCTAGGATTGAGCTCTGATGTTGTCCAGTAGCTATAAGCCACTAGCGTTTGTTCCATGGGCTCACGTGTGGTTGAGGCGCTCCACTTACTGCCATATTCTAAAAGAATTCAACATCACCAGGTAAGGAAGTGAGAGAAATCGTAAAAGGAAAGAAAAAAAGCAGGAGTATGAATGGGCTGGATTTAACTGGCCTGAAGGGAGTCTTGGCCCACTTGTCAGAGAACTGTCAGGGAACTCCTATCTGTTCCATTGGGGTAGCCTGATGGTATTTAATGTCCTTCAGACACCCACTGTGTCTGGGAATATCTGCTGTGGTGTTCTTTTCAGATTTAACATTTTTATTGTTGAAATCTGATCTTCTGTAGATATATTTGTGACTTGTACTAAGATGTGCATGCATCTTTATTTCTGACAGATAATCCGCAAAAGAGGAAGTTGTGTTTTTAAATTAGGCTTTGTTACTAGGCTACGGGCCAAAAGTTGTAAAATTGGATGAGAATACATAGATATTTGATGACAGGTGTGAATACGATAGGACAAACGTCATTATCTGCTGTAAAAATTCCAAGACTCTACATGACCGAATCCATATTCTATTTTATAATTTTACAAGTTGAGGACAAATATTGACACGTAATGTGGGAATGTTTATGTATGTAACTTTTACACTGACGTATCAAATGCAAAAATTACAGAGACATTGAGTGCAGCCTATGGAAAACTGCTTGTAACACAGACACACATAAAAACACTGACAGAATATCACATAGAATCTGGAAATCAGATGGGTTTACAAAACAATATTATTGAATTACACAGTAATCACACATGAGGAAGACCAACTAGTGACATTGCATTTCATCTATCCAGTAGGCTCTTCAGTTCTCCCATTCCACTTTCCAACTGTTCACTAAATATTTTCAGGGTTTTCATCTTAGCTACTCTACCAGAAGTCCATTTCATTCAATTACCTCTCTTTGGGAGTAATTTTAACCTTTGTTGATAATGTAGGGCAAAGACGTGGGGTCATGCCACTCCACTTGTAACCCAGAAACCCTGGCTAATGCACTAGGGACATGGAATCAAATCCCACCACAGTAGGTGGTGGAATTTAAATTCAATTAGGAAATCTGGAATATCTCAGTAATTGTGATTACTGAGATATCATCATTATGATTAACTATCATTAGTTATTTTTATCATTAATTATTTTAAAAACAGATCTAGTTCACCAATATCCTTAGGAAAATAAATCTTCCATCCTTTCATGGTTTGATCTATATTTAGCTCCAGGTTCAGAACAATGTGGTTTTAACTGCCCTCTGAAATGGCCTAGTAAGCAACTTCATCCAAGAGCAACTGGGTATGGGCAACAAATGACAATCACATCCCATGAAAGAATAAAAATCTAAGGACAACCAGCACATATTTATAAAAGACAAATTGGCAAATCCAATGGCATAGACTTTGACAAGTCATATTTACATAGCACTTTTAACTACAGTGCCTTCATATAGACTCTTGAAATGTCCCAAGTGACTTCACAGAAGAACTATAAAATAAAGAAGGACACTGGATGTGCAAAATTTGGAAAGACTCATAATCTAAAGGAGGAAACTGAGGTGGAGAGTCAGTGGACGGCATTTCACATGGTGCCATCCCCAAAAGCATCATTGCTTTTCTCAATATAAACAAAAAAAATGGATTCAGTCTTGAACCATTTTGTCAAATTTAATAGCTGAAGCAAATATCATAAGCATGGTTAACTGACAAAGAGGATGTAGACAGATTAGTGCATTACATTTGATTGTCACTGGAATGTCAAGCATTTGAATAGAAGGTCATGAGGAGAGTGAATGCACACTCAATAACAAATTTTAAAAAGAGTAGTAGAGCAGAGAGACTGAGAAATTTAGATGCACAAATCTTTAAAAGTAGGAAGACAAGCCAATAAAGTGGCATAAAATACAGTAGTAGGATCCTAGTTTAAGAACATAACATATCAAAATAGTGAAGTATACTGAAAATATGCAAATTGCAAATTAGGTTGCACATTGTTGTACACCATTTTAGTTACTTTACTTTCAGAATGAAACTAAGGCAATGGACAAAAGACAGCAACATTCATTAAAGTTAATGTCGAGATATACACTTTTGTTTTTGAAATATATGAGAAATAAGCAAAGTTTTTTTCTGTTAAAGCACAGAATGTTAATTGAGGATACCCAAAATTGTGAAGTGTTTTGAAAAGATGAATAGGAAAAGCTATTTCCACTAGTCAGTAGAAGAGACAGCTTGAAGAAACGTTTCATGTAAAAGACATGATTTCTGAAGAAGGGTCTAGACCCTAAGCATCAGCCTTCCTGCTCCTCTGATGTTGCTTGGCCTGCTGTGTTCATCCAGCTCTACACCTTGTTGTCTCATGTAAAAGACTGTCAGTTTACAGAATACCCAACCAGAAACAGTAGTGGAAGGAGGTTCCATTAAACTGTTTTAAAAGATTAGTTGCAAAAAAGAAAACTTGAAAGGACATGGGACAAAAGCACAGAAAGAAACTAAATGAAAGATAATTTCAGAAACCTGGCACAACGGTGATGAGCTGAATAGATCTCCCCTGTACTGTGCAATTCAATGATTTTATGATTCTGGACCCATAGACATGCACCATTCCTGTGAACGTCAGTGATCAATTCCCAACTCCAAACATCAGCCTGTAATGAAATCTCCAGTGTGCTTGCCACAAACTGTGAGGTCTCCACTGTTTAATAATTGGTGTCTACAATTACATATGTGGTGAGTTTGTGATCACAATAGTGCCACCAATGGCAAGCCACAAACCACTCTACAATTTCAACACTAGGTATTGAGTGCCCACTAACATAAAAACAATTTCTAATAAGTTACCAGAAATATTGTTAAAATGAGTTATAACTGGATACAACTGGATTCAAAACACAATTAGATGTGATTTGCAGAGGAAAGAATTTAAACAAAATAGTGCAATTTAAAGTAGATGAGAATGACCTTTCTATTGTTCAGCTTAATTGCCTGTTTCGAAACAAATCTGCTCTTTTAATTCCATGAAAATTTTACATTAATGTGAAAAGTACAAGAAAATATTACTTGAAAGCAGTAGTTCTTGCCTTTCCACAGATAATAAGCCATTACAAGTGAGATTTGTTCCCATGTCCTATCACCCGATTGCCTGCATGCTTAGTAAGTTTTCTGCTGGATTTTGACTGTTTCCCTTAACTGCATTAGTGTTGCAGATGCAGTGCAAGAAAACAGCTGGACAAAAACATCACGTTCCACAAACTGGTGGCTTACATGATCGCCTTGCACACAGGTAGGCTTCTCTGGGGAACATGGCATTCTTCAAATGTCCCTTCCACCAGGTGCTGCTTTTACTTCTCACCTTTTAATAACTTAGCAGCAACATTGACAAAACTTCAAGAAGGAAACAACTTCTGTCCAGCCCATGTTGCTGGAAGATTTTACAGAGTCTGGAGTTGCTTTAATTGGAGCAGAGGAGACTGAAGGATGTATAAATTATGAGGGGCATAGATAGAGTAGACAGGAAGGAGTGTTTCAACTTGGTGGAGGGGATAATGACCAGGGGACTTAGGCTTTAAGGTTAGGGACAAGAGGTTTAGGGGGGATTGAAGAAAAAAAAAATTCACTCTCGAGCATAGTGGGAATCTGGAACTCAGTCTGTAGGGATGGTACAGGAAGAAATCCTCATAATATTTGAGACATAGTTTATTGTTCATTTGCGATGCCAAGGCAATAGAAGGCCAAGTGCTGGAAAAATGAATCAGATTATTTAGGTGCTTGTTTTTGACAGTGCAGACTTGATGGGCCAATGGGACTTTCTCTGCTCTGCAGACCTCTATGCCTCTATATTTGAATAATTTGGGGAGACTCACTTTGTCAAAACATTTTGTCGGATTGAATGGAATTGAATGGCACTCACTGAAGTTCTGGATTGAAAAACAAATTCAAATTTACTACTCCTGTTTTCCCTAGTGCCTTTTGTGACATTACAACGGGAAAATTGGTCCTTTATTATTTTTGATTAACTATAGTTCATAACAACTCTGGATAACAGAATGTGCAACTTTGCTAATGTTCAGATATAGGAAATAATTTGTATAATTGGTCTAATTAACGCACGAGTGGTCAGAAATTAATGGATATATTGTAAAGCTATTTGTGAAGGGCTCTTGTGGTGCAGTGGTAGTGTTCCTTCCTCTGAGCTATAAGCCCTGGCTTCATATCCCACCTGCTCCAGAGGTGTCTCATAACATTTGTCGATTAGAAAAAAATTAAAGATGGTTTGTGTGTACGGTTCCACAAAGAAGCAATGTGATCAATCGATTCATTTTCAGTAAGCGTTTTCTTGAAGCTTTGGCCAGGGAAAGAGAACAGCTACCTCCTTCTGTCTTCATCATATGCTCATCTTGTTCCTGCAGCAATTCATATTGTGGCACATTTACTGAATTTTGAATGGTTCAACAACAGTCAACAGTCAAAAGAAGGCACCCTGGACGCTGTGCTGTCCCAAATTGGGGACAACAATAACCGCTGGTTGAATCCTATCAGGTCAAATCAAACGGTAAGAAGTACTTACATGTAATTAGATAGGACCTTTTAACAGAATAATACCATTAGATATGACTAACCCATCATCTTCTTCCCACAATCAATATTTGTTTTCTCTCCATAAACACATTAAATTGTTTTGAAAATGCAATGCTGGAAGATCTAAAATAAAAAAAATTCCTGGAGAAACTCAACAGGCCTGGTAGCATCTGTGGAGATAAAAACAGAGTTAACATTTCCAGCCCAATATGACTCCTCTTGGAATCTGCTGAGCTTCTCCAGCACTTTTTTTTTAATGTTAAATTATTTTGAACCTATTATATCATCAGCCTTAAAGGCGTTTCCTCCCCAATCTTCTTTGAAACGCTACTATTCAAATGAAAACATTTCTTTAAAACTTCCTTTCCTATTCTTAGTCATCTAATTTTGAATGTGTGCAAAATGGCATTTCAATTCTGTGTAAAGGTACACAATTACGATGCATGATCATTGTCAACCTCTTTCATATCTAAAATAAGAACAGGAGTGCCAGTCATGAAGGAACCTGTAGGTACCTATCCTATTGCTATCTCTACTCTCCCTCCTTCTCAGAGTCAGATAACCTAAATCCATTTCCTGCTCTTTGTCCACACCCTTTCATTTCATAATTGCATTGATTTAATTTGCTATTGAAAACCTTTTACAACTCAATACAGCAATTAATTCAGAGCTGGCATTTGCCATAAATAGTATTAAATGCTGAATGATTATTTTTTGGTAGCTTCGAAGTGTAGTTCTGAGAACCAGAGAAGTCTATTTGTGTAATAAGTATCGACAATCCACATGAGAGCAGAGCCCCAGTGAGGGCAGGACCTGCCTTGGAGGAGCTGGACCAATCCACAGCACAAAAAATAGGATATTGTAGCTGAAATGGTTTCATTACACAGAAGCCAAATACTCCAGTCCACCAGCTCTGATCATCAGCAGCAATAAGAAAGACAGCTGAAACTCAAATAAAAATCTCCTCAGAAATCAAGAGTCATACAAGCCAGTAGGGGTTAATTTTAGTAACAATCTGGAGGTGGCAATCCAATGGAAAGTCCCTAAAGGAGAAAATGTCTAAATGCTATCAGGGTTTTAAGATTGTCGCCTACAAATATTTCTTATTCATCACATCAAATTACAAATTATGTCACTTCTTAGCCTTCCCAATAATGATTTTGGCATGAGTCTGAAGCAGATTAAAAATACACTCTTTGGTCTGGACAACATTGCATAGCCCTAAAGAGAAGAAACTTAAAGATGGCGAGAAATTAATTTGCAAAAATTGAATAAGGGGTCTAGAGAAAGCTACAACTTTAACAATATCACTCTCAACCAAAGACCCAGTTTAAATCAGTTCAAAGGGAACTTATAAAATGGGAAATAAACATTGACATGGTTCAAATTTTTTATTTGGATTTTTTCAAGTTTTTTTAAAAGAATCTCTTTTACTTCCCCTTGCTATATGCAACGTTATCCAATGTGTTCAAGTAAAATACAGATGCATTTGGCAAGCAGTACATATAACATCTAACCGTGGGTGCTCACTGAAAAGATTTACTACTAAGCCTGGCAGTGTAAGGGAGCAATATGTTCATGCCAATATGTCAGGGATTTTGTCTAATCACTTCTGTGTTCATATCCCTTTGTGCAAATAATTCCTCAAATTTCCTCAATATACAAGCACACATACTTAAGGAATGGCCCCAAATAAAATATTTAAACAATTAAGAAAGAAGTCTTTGAAATAGATCTCTTGGCTCCCAGTCGTAAGATTTCTACTTTCAAAGGGGACTTTTTAAATATCAGTAGACTCTGTCTTTATCAGTTGGATTATGAGTGAAAAGCAGATTTAGTCATACCTTTTTGGTAAATACTGCTGTAAGTAACGTGTGTATTTTCTCCACAGACTCCCACCTATGTCGCATTCACCACTGTGGCTGGTCTAACTGGAGTCATTATCACATTGGCACTTATTGTCATGATCACATCCTCAACAGACACCATTCGCAGATCATACTTCGAGGTCTTCTGGTTTACACACCATCTCTTTGTCATATTTTTTGCAGGACTTGTCATCCATGGAATTGGGTATGTAGGATGATACCTTACTTAAAACAGTTGAGATTCCTGGTCACCTTTCACGAATGTGGGATGGTTCATTGTCACTGTCATCATACAAGAAAGGCAGCAGCCAACTTGCACACAATAAGGGTCTCACAAACAGCAATGTGATAAAGAACACATAACCTGTTTTAGTAATGTTACTTCACGGTGGGGACTGTAACTGCAACTAATAATATTGGAGACAGGGTCAATCCCTGATTTTCAGTGAGTTAGTAGTCCTTACTTTGGACGATGGTAGGAAACAAAAGGTACCAGCCACATCTGATCACTGGCTGAGTGCATGTATGGTAATTTCAGAAGAACAGGATAAAACTCAACCGGACTGCTTCCCTCAAGTGCATTCATAGAATCCAAACATGAGTAAGATTACAGTGGGCAGCAGACCATTGGCACTGTAACTCAGTAAGCATTAGCACTTTCTGGAGACAACACAAGGGAGGGAATGTGAAATTCAGGGTACAACTGTGGAGACTACATTCTAGGACAAAGTAACTCAGATGTCCGACTGTTTGATCAAGGCCTGAGTCAGAATCCTGTGGGCACTGACAAGCAATTTTGTTGTTCACCCCATGTCCCCTACATGCACGGATCACTGGCCAACTCAAAATCAAGGTCAGGGTTCTCTGAATGTCAGTTTCATATCTATACACAGCAGTCCATGTCCAAATACTTAACCAATATATTGTTTAAAACACGTTTACCCAGGCACCTCGTAGTATTGAAGCCAGCAAACAGACACATGTTGGATACCGATAAAGCAGTCATTACGCTATTAAACCAATAATCAAAAATAAGCAAGTTATTCAATGTTAAGTCATGGAACTCTTTCTAATTAGCCGACATTCCCAGAAATACTTCCCATTTACACTTGAACTTGAAGACAGGCTGGCAACCTTTGTAGAGTTGAACACGTTCTTAGAGCAACACATTCTAGATCCAACTAGAAAGCAGGCTATCCTAGAGCTGATAATTTCCAATGAAACAAGATTAATTAATATCCTCTATTGAAGGCTTTTCCAGATAGCAGTGAACATAGTATGACTGAATTTCACATTACGTTCTGGACAGAAAAGTTGATCTAAGATCTGAGGCAGTTGAGGCCATGAAGACATAGCTGGCTCATGTAAGCTGTGAAATTGTGTTATGGGCTAGGTCAGTAAAGATGTAGTGGTAGGCATTTAAGGAAATACTTCAGAATACTCAGAAAGGTACATCTCAGTAAGAAAGAAAGATTCTAACAGTAGAATGTGGCATCCATGATCAACTAAGGAAGTTAAATAGAGTATTAAATTGAAAGAAAAAGCATGTAATTCCACAAAGAGAATTGGCAAGTGAGAAGATTGGAGAGAATATAAAGAACAGAAAAGAATGACTAACAGATTAAAAGGTGGGAGAAATTAGACTATGAGAGAAAGCTAGCTATAAATATAAAAAAATTAGTAAGAGTTTCTAAAGTATTTAAAAAGGAAAAGAGTAAGTAAAAGTAAGGGTTGGTCCTGTAGAAAGTGGGTCTGGGGTATTAATAATTGGAAAGAAAAGGAACTGGTAAATGAATAGAACAGATATTTATCCTCTGTCTTCATTGTAAGACTTACAGATAACATCCTAGAAATAATTGCCAATCAGGATGTGAAAGACAGGTAGAAATTTAAACTATTACAATCACCAGAAAAAGGGGACCGAAGAAGGAACTGAAAGCTGACAAGTCCCCAGATCCTGATGGACTTCATGCCAGGTCTTTAAAAAAGTAGCTATTGAAATAGTAGATGTAGCCATGATCTTATTGAATAGCAGAAGAGATTCAAGGGGCCGAATGGCTTCCTTGTGTCCTAAATTGTACATTCATATCACACCTATAATTGTGTCCAATCTCAATTTGGCAGAAACTATCATGTCAAATGGTCATTTTAGTACACATTATTTAGTAATCCAAAGAAAATCCCATAAACATAATTTGAAAAGTCAGTGTTGTAGAGATGATTTTATCCGGAGCTTTTGAAAAGAGTTACAACTGCACAGTGGTGTGGTTAACAATCCATGTAATTCTAATTTTACTTGCTGATTTGCTTGGTTCTCTGATAACCATGTATCTCATTTATCCTTTTTTTTCTTTTAGCCGTATTGTTCGACGCCAAACTGCTGCTAGCATGGAGGTACATAAATTTTCGTACTGTCATAATCGCACAGCCGAGTGGGGGACAATTCCTGAATGCCCAATTCCTGTGTTTGAGGGAGGAGAGCCAATGGTGAGTTTTGTTTAGTGATTTACTCATTTTCGCCTGCTCCTTAAAATCTTTCCACATCACGGCCATTCTACACTTGCACAAACAGTTCGGAGAATGAACAAGATCCACCTGTCTGACCACAGCTAGAAACTGCAAAGTTACTTTGAGTGATTCTTAATTATTATTTATTTTTCTCCCTGTGGGAAAGCTGCTGCTCTGCAATGTCACAAAGGAGGCTAAAATAGCTTTCCACAAGATGACGTGCAGGTTCAAAAGATGTCCTCCACTATTTTGTGGTCAGTGTGTTTTCATGACAAGGCTAATAAAGAGTGTGACATCCAAGGGCTGGGTTTTACAGCCTCCCAAGGAGGCAGGGTGAGGCTGGGCTGGAAAATGGGAAACTGTGCTGCGGGTACTGCAATTTACCACTGGTGGGGGAGACATTGACATGCCAGCCTGTGGGATAATTAAGGACTTTAATTGGCCAATTCATAGCAGCTTAAGGACCCCCTCTGATCACAGCAGGAGATGCCAACACCAGATGTGCAGTCTGGCAGGTTTCACAACTTTGGCTGGTGGCTGGAAAGAGGGTGGCACTTCCTTCCCCCAAGATTTTCACATCCTTGTGTTTTTCCACCGCCCACCCAACTGACCCTGGCTCCCCATATCCTTGTCTCCTCTCCCACACTCGCCAGCCTTGTCTTGATGTTGCACCCACCCGAACCTTCCTTACTTTCATATACGGCTCCATTACTGATTGTCATTGGCAGATGATGGCAGTTCCAGCAGTAGCCACCACTCCCAGTGGCACTGCTGGGACCAAAGAGCTTCTGGGCATTTAACTGCCTGGCAGCATGTAGAGGTGAGCTTCCTTCCTCATTGTTGGTGAGTGGGAGGGGTTGTGGAAGGACTCACTTCAAACGAAGTAAGTAAATGGCTGTGGATGAACAGGTGAAGCCAGGTACGAGCTCAGCCCAAACGTTTTACCCACTTCCCCCAGTCCCCTATTCAAACATACAATCCAGACCCTTTTGTGTGATCTGATTGCAGATAATTCCAGCACTTCACTGACTATTTCATTAATATTAACAAATATTTCATAGAAGCCTATCCTCACAACATCAATCACAATGGGCCTGCTGGCTGGGGAATTCACTAACATAACTGTTTAGTTATTCTCTCTTATTACAATGTGCTGCTCTGTTCCAGACTTGGAAATGGGTGCTCGCACCGATGATACTCTATGTCTTTGAGAGATTAATACGACTGTATCGATCCCAACAGAGGGTGGTCGTCACCAAGGTAAAGAAAAATATGACGCTATTACTTTTAAGGCATAATTATGCAGCCACACATTATTCCCAATAATTATTCTTCTAAACTATACTCACAGTATTTGGAAGTAAACATTTCAAAAGTGATGAAGTTAGTTTCCCCAGAGTTCCGACAGATGCATTTACATAACGAAATGAAAGAAAGTAAATTTTCCTCCATTTATTTCATTTCCTTTTTTCAGAATGTGACAGTATTCTTCTAAAATCTCTTCCAGGCTCCTGAATATTGGTCCCATGCCAGCTTCTCAGAGGTGCTTGCATATGAGCTTGTGTCAGTTTTCTTTTCCTCTCAGCGCAGAGAGGCACATCTCCAGAAGTTTTAGAGCCATTTTATTTGAGCAACCTTCAGGAGTCCCTTCCAGGGTCACTGGTTAAATAATTTGAGACCTGCCAATACTTGCCAGTCAGAGCTCACTCATTGTGTCCAAACAAATTCAGACATTCAGGTCAAAAACAGTGTCTGATCATTGAGGTTGTGCACTTTGTCAACAGCAGCCAAGGTCACCTTAAAAAGACCAATTTAGCACATGGCAGGACTACTTTGGAATCTGGCCACAAGCATCTGCCCTACTGAAGTGCCCTGTTAACCAATGCTAAACTTTTCCCCCATTATGACAATGAGATCTTTCTCACATCTAAGTGCTCAATGCCAACATCTTCACCTGGTTGAACAATAGTGTTTCTGAACTCACTGTAACTTTTGTTCCAGGCTGTAGTTCATCCATCAAAGGTCCTCGAGTTGCAGATGCAGAAGAAGGGTTTTAAAATGGAAGTAGGTCAATACATCTTCATCAACTGCCCATCCATCTCACAGCTGGAGTGGCACCCCTTCACTCTGACCTCTGCCCCAGAAGAGGATTACTTCAGTGTTCATATTCGATCAGTCGGTGATTGGACAGATGGCATGTTTCAAGCATTTGGGGACAATAAAAATGAGATGAGGCAACAAATACAACCAAGGTAGATTACAAATAAATACACAGCAAATGCAATCACCTTATGCTGACAGTCAGAAAAGATTACAAGCAGTGGTTGTGCTGTAATGACGATATATTTTAGTTGTCGTTTTCTTATTTTCTTGATACAAATTAAAATAGTTGTCTCCAAACATTAGTATACCAAAGAAATAAGAAAGAACTTTACATAGAATTACATAGTCTACAGTGTGTAACAGTTCATTTGACTCAGTTGGTCTATATAAATGTTAATGCTACACGAGAAATTCCTTCCATCCCTGTTCATTTAACCCTGCCAGTATTCTCTACGCCTTTCTCCTCCGTGCTTATCTAGCTTCCTCTTAATTTGTCTATGCTACTTGTCTCAACAACACCGAATGAAATATTTCTGGCAGTATCAACAGATGCTGGTAAATACAATGACACTTTCATTCTTTCTAAGTTACTTGCACTGCCTTAAGTGCAAAAAGAAAATGGTTTTTGGCTAGTCCTAAACCAGTTATTCTGATTTACATAAATTACAATAACTTCCAAACAACTTCAGTTGCAAGTGCAATGGAAAGCCACAATGGGGCTGAAACCAGAATCGGCCCTAAACATGCTCAATGAAACACATGAAACTCAATGCAATATGCAGGTAAATTCAAATGTTTACTGATGTTCATTCAGTGCTCTTTCACATTGTAACTTCTTGCCACCCAGTTCTTGCACTGATATCACCAGGACTCAGAAAAATATATCAAAACTGGGAACAGAAGATGTAACATTAAAGTTAACTTTATTTGCAACTTTATTTTTAGAATTGCAGATGCTGGAAATCTGAAACAAAAACAGAAATTGCTGGAGAAACTCAGATTTGGCAGCATCTGTGGAAAGAAATCAGAGGCAATATTTTTCAGGTTCAGTGACCCTCCTTCAGTGCTGAATGTTTGAGTACAATTTAAAAAGATCCCTTTCAGGTAATGAAGATTCTAATGGCAGTTACCTGCCCAAGTTAGTGTTAACAGGAACATTAGTTTAAAGGTTTAGGAAAGTACACTCCATCTTGCAAGGAGAGGGAAGGTTGTGGAGTTAGGACGGTTTTTTCTCTGTGGCATCATGTCTTCTATCTGTTACATCTCTCACATGCCTTCTCACCCTCAACCAGTTATACTCTAGTGTTGATAGTTATTGTAGTGTATTGGATGGCTTACTGGAGATCAGTAGAGGATGTGTCAGTGATAATTAGAACTCTTGTCATAAACCTTACACCTGGAGACTTGTTGAACTATAGAATTGTCAATGTTAATAGCAACTGCATGATAATCTAAGCCAGGCCATTTCATTATTCTTAGGCTGTATCCTTGCCAATGGCAAACTACTGGTGGGAAATAAATTTGGAGATAGCTAGCATATTCACCTAGATGAATAATGAGCTACTTATTGAGGTTTCTTTGCCTTAGCAGACTCAGTTCATTTTGGAAATATTCCTATTTCCAAGCAGCTTTATAGAAGTATGGAAGCACATCTTTCCTATACTTAGGCAGACATTAGATGGCAAATTACTTAAGGAGTTCCCAGCAGAATGGACAGTTTCTGTTTAACTAAGTTTATAAGACCTTTTGGATTAAAAGGCACAAACTTAATATTCACTACCAATTTGTATCTGCAGTATTGCAGTGGATGGTCCTTTTGGTACAGCTAGTGAGGATGTCTTCCGATATGAAGTCAGTGTTCTTGTTGGGGCTGGCATTGGAGTGACTCCATTTGCATCCATTCTCAAGTCAATCTGGTACAAGTATGAGAAATCTGATGCTGCATTACTGACAAAAAAGGTACATTTTGCTTTTGTTTTTTAAATCGGTGTTTCCCAGCGTTACTCTTCCTCTTCCCAAGTTCCTTGCACCTAAGTATTTCTTTAGCCTAAAGTTTCACAGTCAGTGTCAGTGGCTACTTGACAGAAGTGATATGGTGGATCAAGTCGCAACATCCATTCTCAATTATAAAAACTTCCCAACATGTTGGTCAGATCACATAGTGGATTGTTATACTCTTCCAAATCACCCCTATTGCTGATGAAGTGAGCAGAACTCTTTAGAAATAAGTGCTATGGTTCAAGGACGATTGTGAAGGAATTACTCAGAGTGCAAATGAATACCCATGTACAATGCTGAAATATTCTAGCTCTGCTTTGTGTAATGGTTGTCTCCCCATCTATTTTTAGATATATTTCTTCTGGATTTGTCGAGAGACCCAGGCATTTGAGTGGTTTGCTGACCTGCTACGATCACTTGAGGGTCAAATGGAACAATTGGGCAAGCATGACTTCCTCAGCTACAAACTCTACCTGACTGGCTGGGATAGTACACAGGTATTTCATTTGTTCATGGATGTGGGTGTCACTGGCTGGGCCAGCATTTATTGCCCATTCCTAGTTGCCTGTTGAGAAGGTGGTGAGTAGCTGCCTTCTTGAACCGCTGCAGTCCATTTGATGTAGTTAGACACATAATGCCATTAGGGTGCGAATTCCAGGATTTTGACATAGTGAGTTCCTAGCCTTCAATACACTGGCGTGCACAAACGTTAGCGGTTTAGGAATGAGTCCTTTCCTTTTTTGTTAGAAGGAGAGAGTGTTACATTCAAATATTCTCCCTGCTCAATACCCTCCTGACCAGGCACCAGCCTTGACCCAAATGACAGTGTGTCTGAAGGTATGACTCATCGTTGTTAATCAGATAGTAAACAAATACCACATGTAAGGATGTAACCACACTGCTTATCAATAACCAGGCACAACACTATAGTAGACTAGAACTATACTAGTAATGGTAATTCAATTACAAAACAACTTTAAAATATTAAATATATATGTGAAACGTCTTACCAAAATACAGTTCTGAATGGGGTTCCTACCTTTGCCCTGGTTTCAAGATCAGATGTTAAAAGCTGATACCTTCAGTTAGCCTGATCCTTTCTTGACTTTTGCTGCTTTCAGTGAAGTAGAAGAGTGACAATGGGAGGGACCAAAACTCTGTGTAAAATCTCCAATTTCTTGGTTTGATCTCGGAAATCAGTCAAAGCTGATGGTTTCAATCCAGAATCCATCCATAGGATGGTGAAAGATAATGGTTGGAATGGACAGAATGGACAGTCAGAAGCTTTTTCCCAGGGCGGAAGAGTCAGTTACTGGGGCCATGGGTTTAAGATGCGAGGGGCAAGGTTTAAAAGTGATGTACGAGGCAAGATTTTTAGGTGGTGGGTGCCTGGAACTCACTGTTGGGGGAGGTAGTAGAAGCAGATACCATAGTGACTTTTAGAGGGCGTCTTGACACATAAATGAATAGGATGGGAATAGAGGGATACGGTCCTGGGAAGGGTAGGGAGTTTTAGTTGTGACGGGCAGCATGTTGGTGCAAGCTTGGCAGGCCGAAGGGCCTGTTCCTGTACTGTCATTTTCTTTGTTCTTTGTTCTGCAGCCCTCTACCGAAGCTGTTAAACCTCAGCATGCTGCTGTGTAGGAAGGAAAGAGGAAAGAGAATTTCCATTTAATTGTTGCCTATTTATTCAGCACTTACGTCAAGTTCTCTTTCTATTTCATATCTTTGTTCTCACAGGCTATTCATGTCAAGGTGCACATCGATAAAGAGACTGATGTGGTGACTGGACTCAAACAGAAAACATACTATGGTAGACCTAACTGGGACAAAGAGTTTCAGATGATTGCACAAACTCACCCCAAGTAAGTGGAAAAAACAAAAAAAAATCTTTTAGTGAATGACTACCCAGTATCCCCCTCTTCATAATAAGGATTTTCTCTTTGTTACTTAATAATTATATTCTCAGTTAAGGATTTTACATTGAAACCCATAATTCCTTATAATTTTGAGTTCCATATGTATCTATGCTACATACCATTCCTGTTCGGAAGTGTGTGTGGCAAGGCTGCTCCCTCACAACTTGTCAGGGCTGAATGAGAGTAACAGGAGGTCAGTGAGACTGACTGTGGATTGGACAGTGACAAGAGTAAGAATAACCGTGAGTAAGTGAGTTAGCAGAGATAAGACTTCCTTGAAGTGGTGAAAGTGACCAGAGGTGTGGGAGGGCCATTAGCAAGCGAGAGTGACCATGAGAGAGCATAAGACTTATATTCTCCCCATTCCCAGGCAGGCCATCACCACAGCAGTGGTAAGATCAGTAATTAACCACACCAGGATTGAAGGTGAATGTTGTAACTTGGACCTGAATACTGAGCATGCCAGGAAATCAGACCATCATTTACCTCAGGGTTATAGTCGAATTGAACAGTAAACTCTAAATAACAAGAAATGATGAGCCACAGTGTAGGACCAAAATGTCTCTTTTTTCAAAAAGCCACTTGTTAATTTTAAAAAGGTGGCCTGAGGAACACTGTGCATCACTGCTATGTTGTGCTGCATTTTAAAAGGGAACCATGTTCTGGCATGCATTGGATTTTTATTTCTAGCTCCACTGCCAGACAGACATACATTTCCTTATTGGAAAGGGTGAAAAGAAGCCACAGCAAACCTGGGCTAATCTACTTCATTTTCCGCTTGCCAGTTACAACGTAATACAGCCAAAGACTAACAGCAGGTTGGCCAATCACCATCTTTACAAGAATGCAGAACAAAGTGCAGAAAGTTTGGGGACATGGGATAGACTCTCATAATGGCAAACAGTGAAATTTGAATGCAATAAAAATCTGGAATAAGGAGCCCATCTAATGGTGATCCTGTAACCACTGTTGATTGTTGTTAAAAAAAACCCCATCTGGCTCACTAATGTTCCTTAGGGATGGATATCCGCCATCACTGGTGACCCTAGACCCACAGAAATGTGACTGATTCTTAATTGCCCTCCATGCAATTAGGTATGAACAAAAAAATATTGCTGGCTTAGCCAGTGATGTCCTCTTTCAATGAACAAATAAAAAGAGCACAATCCTTCAAAGAATCCAAAATCTGAACAAATCTACGGTTGACAAAAAGGAACAAAAATACAACAAGGGGGCAACTAGAGAATAGAAATAGGGAATTCTGGACATAGATTGTTAGGTTTGCCATTTTCAGGGGAAGAACAGGCCAATACCCCAGGGGGTAGATCTCATTGCTAGAACTGCTGAAAGGTTAATAATTGAAATGTTAACTTACCTCCTCTCCATAGATGCAAACAATCTCAACAGAATTAACATCTGAATTGCAGAGCTGAATGATACTGTGCAAAAGTGACAGGTGCAACAAACAACTCATGAATTTGTACCTTTGCAGAACAACTATTGGAGTCTTCCTGTGTGGACCACAAGCTCTGGCTAAGGCTTTAGAACAATGCTCAAACAAATACTCTGAGGTCAACCCCTTGGGAGTACATTTTCATTTCAACAAGGAAAATTTCTAGGAATCAAGGAAAAGATCAAATAACTGGAAGAACAATAGAAAGACAATGCTTATTTTTGGAGGGAATTCTCTTCCCTCAGCATTACTGAAGATGTGGCATTATGTTCTGATTTCACAGAAGCACACCATCTTTAAATGCCCTGGATGGACAGGCTGGAATTCTCCAAACTTCAAACTGTAAATGTTCCCCATTCATTGTAATGTATTGGGGAATTGAGGACTGACATGGTAAAATGTGAATGAATGACATTGTCATCACAATAGAGGAGATATTCAGAATGCTCAAAGAAATTTGTTTCTGTGGATTACATGCAAACTAAAAATATTATTTCTATTTTCTAAGTGTGTATTTTCAGTCATATTGCTGAATTGAAATGGATGAAATTCAGAATCACAAATTATCATCAAAGCTGGCCTTGGGGAGGTCAAATCTGATGATCACTGTTCTGTCCACAATGTAATGGGTGCCAGACTACGTCCCAGCACTGTGGCCATCCAGCTAACTGTGTACTGCCTCAGAATTTAAAGTGACAATTGCTGAAGTTACACGTGGGCTGTTTGTGGTGCTCAAATAATGTTGTAAAGAATTGTTACATTTTAAAATAAAAGGCTTTCTGGATTTGTTATGGGCTGTAGATCCAACTTTTAATAGCCTGCTGTTTACCCGATGCTTGCAACTAAAAGTGTTAATTAACTTAAAAATAGTAGCTATTTTCAAGACTTAGACAAGAACCACAGATGTGCTGGTGATTCCTGATGCAAATCCTACTCTATCAGGAAACATGATTCATGTAGCAAGTATGACATGCTTAAGTAGACTAGGTGAAAGGGTGCTCATAATGAGTACTTGTTGCAATTATTTGAGGACAAGGTTAAAGTTGACTATAGATTTTGATTCAGGGTTAGAATAGGTGCAGGGAAAACAGGAAATACACTAAACTTAAACAGGAACGGCATATGGAATTGTCTTCAGACAAAACCTGTCATGTTGAAGAATTCCAGGAATCAGTAATAAATTCAGGCAAAAACTGAAAGAACTGCGGATGCTATAAATCAGAAACAAAAGCAGAAATTGCTGGAAAAGCTCAGCAGATCTGGCAGCACCTGTGAAAACTTTTCTTTTCGCGTTCGGTGACCCTTGAAGGGGTTAACTCTGCTTTCTTTTCACAGATGCTGCCAGACCCGCTAAGCTTTTCCAGCTCACTGCTTGTTGTGCAGGTGACCTCCCAACCACAGCCTCCAACCTCATCGTTCCCAACCCTACACTGCCTGTTTCTATCTCCTTCCCAATATCCACAAACCTGACTGCCCCGGCCGACCCATTATCACTGCTTGCTCCTGCCGCACTGAACTTATCTCCGCTTACCCTGACTCTGTTTTCTCCCCCCTGGTCCAGGAACTCCCCACCTACGTCCGGGACACCTCCACCTCCTCAGACATCTAAATCCCTGGCCCCCAACACCTCATCTTCACTATGGACATCCAATTCCTGTACACTTGCACTCCCCACACAGATGGCCGAAAAGCCCTCCACTTCTTCCTCTCCCGCAGACCCAACCAGTCCCCCTCCACTGAAACCCTCATCTGCTTTACTGAACTCGTCCTTACCCTTAACAACTTCTCCTTTAACTCCTCCCACTTCCTACAGACTAAGTGGGTGGCCATGGGTACCCGCATGGGCCCAAACTTTGCCTGCCTCTTTGTAGGATACGTGAAACAGTCCCTCTTCCGCTGCTACACTGGCACTAGCCCCCACCTCTTCCTCCACTACATTGATGCCTGTTTCGGCGCTGCCTCGTGCTCCCATGAGGAGCTTGAACAATTCATAAAATTTACTAACACCTTTCACCCCAACCTCAAATTCACCTGGACCATCTCTGATACCTCCCTTTCCTTCCTGGACCTCTCTGTCTCCATCTCTGGTGACTGCCTCGAAACCAACATCTATTTGAAGCCCACCGACTCCCACAGCTACCTAGACTACACCTCCTCCCACTTCCTGCAAGAATGCGATCCCCTGCTCCCTATTCCTCCACCTCCACCGCGTCTGCTCCCAAGATGGGGGCGTTCCACTCCTGAAAATCCCAGATGTCCTCTTGTTTCAAGGACCTCAACAGCCCCCTCCAGTGATCGAAAATGCCCTCAACCACATCTCCTGCATTTCCTGCACCTTAAATCTCTCTCCCCCAACAAAAATAAAGACAGAATCCCCCTTGTCCTCACATATCACCCCACCAACCTCTGTATCTAACGTTTCATTCTCCACCACTTCCGCCACCTACAATCTGACCCCACAGCCAAAGATATATTTCCCTCCCCAGCCCTAACTGCCTTTCGTAGGGACCGCTCTCTCCGCAACTCCCTCATCTGCTCCACACTCCCCACTAACCCTACCGCCCCCGGCACCGTTCCCTGCAACTGCAGGAAGTGCTACACCTGCCCCTACACCTCCCCCCTCATCTCCATCTAAGGCACCAAACAAACCTTCCACATTAGACAGAGGTTCACCTGCACATCCGCTAATGTGGTCTCCTCTACATCGGTGAGACAAGTGAGGGCTTGGAGACCGTTTTGTAGAGCACCTGTTCTCGGTTCGCAACAAACGACAACATCTTCAGGTCGCAAACCATTTTAACTCCCCCTCCCACTCCCTGGGTGACATGACCATCCTGAGCCTCCTTCAGTATCACAATGACACCACCTGCAACCTGGAGGAGCAGCACCTTATAGTCCACCTCGGGAACCTACAGCCCAATGACCTAAATGTAAATTTTACCAGTTTCAAAATCTCCCCACCCCTGGCCTCATCCCATGACCAACCCTCCCTCTCATCCCTGCCTTTTTGACCTGACACAACCTGCCCATCTTCTCTCCCACCTATCTGCCCCTCCCACTTCATTGACCAATCCTCACCACCCCCTACCTGCACTCACCTAGCACCATCCCACCTACCTTCCCCAGCCCCACCCCTCTTTCTCTTTATTTCGGAGCTCCCTTCCCCCTCCCCCATTTCTGAAGAAGGGTCCCGACCCGAAACATCAACTTTCCAGCTCCTCTGATGCTGCCTGGCCTACTGTGTTCCTCCAGCTCCACATTGTGTTATCTCTTGTTGTAAATGATATCCTTGTTGCCTATGACCATACCACAGGCCAGGGCACCATCGACACGCACCAGCCACACACACCCCTGGCCCATGGACATTTGCATCTGTCAACCTCTCACAGTCATCTTGCGATTTCTCTGAAGCACTAGCACTAGCAACTAGTATTAAAGTGTTGCAGTGGAGACATATTGTGCACAGGCATTCAGCTCACAGTCTGGACTAGGCTGTAACTCCGGACTTCTCGCTTTGTACCTGAGGGCTCACGTGTCCATAGAAACTAACAAGGGGGTAGCTGGAAGAACGGGTGAGGAATTGAGGCTGTTGGCATGATACTGAGCCTCGGCAGATTAATCTCCAGCAATAGGGCCTTCACTCTGGGGAAGGGCAGAGCACAATGGTGAAGGAGGGCAGCAGGATGTCCAATGGGCAGCTGTGTTTGGGGGAGGGGAGGGACTGGATGTCTATGGTAGGGCATGGCTGGGAAGAATGTAATGCTGGGCAGAGTGAAATTGTCTTTGGTCAGGAGCAGCCTGGGTTTGGTGGTGGAGTTGGTGGAGTGGAAGCAGTATATAAGCATACCAGGCATGGTCACCTCATATGCTAGGAACTGGGAATGGATGGGCAGGTATAGGCATGTATCAATGGATTGGATGGGGACTTGGGGAAGCAGAAAGCCTATGGGGTTAACAGAATGGGCTATTAGGAAGGGATGTGGCTGTATGGGGACTTTGGAATGATCAGGCTGCAGCTGGAAGCTACTGGAAAATGTTGGCTTCAGTTGCGCTGGAAATCTAAAGCATGAGGAGCCTCTTCAGCTATTGAGACCCATTGGCTTGCCAGAGCTTGGCTTCAAGTTGGAGAAAGCAGGCAGATTAGACGTGGAGGTGGAGGGCCTGGCCATCTCTGCTGCATCCTCATGGAAAGTGCAGAATGGCTTGCCAAGTTCACAATCTGTCCTTGATCAAGCAGGGCAGTTTTGGAATGTATTCATTCACAGGCCATCATTTATTGCCCAATCCAGAGGGCAGTTGAGAGGCAACATACCACTGTGGGTCTGTGCTCATATGTAGGCCAGACCATGTAAAGATGGTAGTTTTCTTCCCTAAGGGACATTAGTGAACCAGAGATAGTAGGAACTGCAGGAGTCTGAGATAACAAGGTGTAGAGCTGGATGAAGTGGTTCGCGACTGGGAGGTGTTGTCGTTTGTCACGAACCGAGTGTAGGTGCTTCTACATCGGGGAAACCAAGCAGAGGCTTGCAGACCGCTTTGTGGAGCACCTACGCTTGGTTTGTGACCAACGACAACACCTCCCAGTCGCGAACCACTTCAACTCCCCCTCCCACTCCTTGGATGACATGTCCATTCTGGGCTTCCTGCAGTGCCACAACGATGCCACCCGAAGGCTGCAGGAACAGCACCTCATATTCCGCTTGGGAACCCTGCAGCCCAATGGTCTCAATGTGGACTTCACAAGCTTCAAAATCTCTCAACCCCTGACGTCATCCCAAAACCAGCCCATTTCATCCCTGCCTCCTTGACCTGTCCGTCTTTTCTCCCACCTATCCGCTCCTTCCACCTCACTGACCAACCCCCAACCCCATTTCCTACCTACTAGCCTCATCCCCGCCTCCTTGACCTGTCCATCTTCCCTCCCACCTACCTGTCTGTCCCTCCTCACTACCAACCCCCATCCTAACTCCCTACATACACTCACCTTTACGGGTATCATCCCCACCTCCTTGACCTGTCCGTCTTCTCTCCACCTATCTGCTCCTTTATTACCTTCCATCATCACCTCCCCCTCTCTCTCTATTTATTTCAGAACCCCCTTCCCCTCCCCCATTTCTGAAGAAGGGTCCAGACCCGAAACATCAGCTTTCCTGCTCCTCTGATGCTGCCTGGCCGGCTGTGTTCATCCAGCTCTACACCTTTTTATTAGTGAACCAGATGGGTTTTTCTGAAAATCAACAATGTTTCATGGTCATCCTTAGATACTTAATTCCAGATTTTTATCGAATTCACCAACTACCCTGGCAGGATTCAAATCCAAGTCCCCAGATGATGAACTAAATCTCTGGATTATCACAGCAGCAATAATACCACTTGGCTATCGCCTTGCCAGTACCTGTTCACTAAACAGCAGCCTTCTAAAACTGGTGCAGTTAACAAGGGATGTCAGCGTTTCAGTAGATTACCAGTCAGGGACACTTTGCTCTGGGAACAGCATAC